CTCCCCCCCCGCCCCCCCGGGAACCCCCCCGCCCCCCGGGGGGGGGGGGGAAGCAAACGGACAGGGGAGAACCCTGTGTGGGCATCTTCCCTGCCGGCCTGCTGGCGCGTTTTGATGGGGGGGGGGAAGATGTTTGCTGCTGGCAGGCGAGGCACACTCCCTCCCCTGGGGGCAGGCAGAGGGAAGGAAGGAGCCCCCCAAATGCACAAAAAGGCCAGCGCCCCCTCCCCTCCAGGAGCGTGGAAGAAACAGAAGTGGTGCAAAGCAAAGAAGCAGCCCTCCCCTCCCCAGGCCAGGAAGGGAGGGGGGGCAGGCTGCTTCAATGGCCCCCTCTGCTGGGGAAAGGGGGCACTGCAGAGGCGGGACCCAGGGGGCCGCTGCCCCCACGGCCCAGCCCTTGCTCCACTTTCCTTGGAACCAACATGGCTTCCGGCGGCCCCTTCCCCAGTTCTGCCCTGCCTGGCTCCTCAGCACCAAAACCTGGGACAAAGCTCCTCCAGTGCAAGAGATGGCCCGTAGCTTATGCAGGGGTCCCTTAAAACTCCCCCGGATTGGGGATGGATGGGAGAACCTTTCCCCCTGGGTGGGGGCTCTTCTCATGCCCCAGGTGAGCCCCGCCCCCGCCCGCCCGGCCCTTCTCCCCTTTCTTGTACTTGTGGACGGGGATCTTCTTCAGCTGCTCCTTCGACAGGCGGTTCCTCCGCAACCGCTTCCGATGCTGGATGCAGCGCACAATCTGCGCGAGAGGAAATTCCCCGGTCGGTCTGGGGCTGCCTCACTGGCCGCCTTCCCAGCCGCCTCCGACACCCCCGTTTCACATTTCAGGCACATTCCAAAGAGGTTGTTTTTTTGAAGCAGACTTGCAAAACTGCAGGGTGCGCAAGTGGAGCCCCCGCTCTCGGAAACAGAGGATGGGTCTCCCCCAGGAAGGCAGGGCTGGCTAGTTTGCTCCTTGCTGTGGAGACCCCTGGTGGTAAGCCTGGGCTTGCTCTGCCGGGCTGTGTGGCACGCAACCATCTGTGATACTTAGGAAGTCGACAGAGACTGCGACACGTGACGCTGGGGCCAGCCAAGAGAACTAACCGGCAGTCAATCCAAGGCAGACAAAAGGAAGGACCATGCGTCATTGGCTTGTGGAACGTCATGCCACAAGACACGCTGCCAGCTGTTGGCTTGGAGGGCTTTAAAATGTCTTCACGGACAAGGAGAGGGCTGTGAACGGCTGTGACTAAACAGCACTGAGGCCTCTGAGTGCCTTTTGTGGGGGGTGGGGGTGGGAAGCATCGAAGGGCTACGCCTTCCCACCCTTGGGGGAGGGGGCTCCCTGCAGGTGGGACTAGAGGGACCTGCGATCTGTGGTCTCCGAGCCAGCAGGTTCCAAGCGATCCCAGCTCTCTGAAGGCAGCGTCCTGTGCTTTTGAAGTCTCCAAGGTCTAGGCCAGAAGACACACACACACACACCCCAATTCAGCCACCCCACGCCTCCCTCCCCCTCCGGGCAGAGACCCAGCAGAACTCACCAGGATGGTGCACATCACAGCGATCACGATGCCCACCACGCCCGTGAAAGGGATGAGGTAATAGCCCAGGGGGAAGATGTACTCCGGGATCAAGACGACGTGAGCCCTGGGGAAGCGGGGCAGAGTTCAGGTTCGGGGGTGGGGGGACACGGCCGAACGGGGCCGGCTTTTGCTTGGTGTGGGGGAGGCCCCCTCCCCTCCCCCACAAACCCCGAGGATGCTGCAGCCAGCTGCCCACCGTTCCACTGCACACAAGGCCCAGGACAGACCCCTCTCCTGCCCCAGGGCGAGCCCACGAGCTCCCCGCAGATCCATCCATCCATCCATCCATCCATGGGGAACGGTCAAGACGGGCGGCCGTGTCAGTCTGTCAGGAGCACCAGAAAAGAGCCAGAGTCCAGCCCCACCTCAAAGACTAACAGTGTTAGATATCTGGAGAAGTGGCTGCAGTGACTCACGAAAGTGGATTTTGTGAGACTTTTAAGATGCGTTTAGACTTGTTAGACTGTCAAGATGCCTACCCTCGGGGAAAGGGAAAAAACCAATAACTTACGTCCAAACAGAGAATATACTCTGGGAGAGACCTGCAGAAAGGGAGCTGACTTTGGGAAGGGAGGGGTGGGCCTTGAAAACCACTGGCAGGCTCCAAGCTGGGAAGCGCCCAACAGGGGGAGGCCACGGACTGAAGGTCACAGCCCACCAGAGCAGGTAAGGTGGATACAGCCGGGCCACCAGTTTGTCTCCAGGTGCCGTTCCCGGTGTGGGTGTCTGCAGCCACGACCTTAAACACACACACACACCCCACCCGCGTGCCTGCAGCCCTCCTGGGACCTCATCACCACTGATGGGTTTCCTCTGTTGGTAGTTGGGGGGGGGGGCTCAGGCTGCCTACACCTCCCCGTA